AGGGGTTCTCCCTCCCCTTCCCTCCCCTCCCCCCCCCACACACACTCACCGCAGTAGCGGAAGCTGGAGTGACCCAACAGCCTGCTCTACCCTGCTGCCCATCCCCCAGCTAGATTGCTCCATTTCACTGTGGCAGCGGGAAGCAGAGCTCTTTAACCCACTCCCCCGAACCTGGGGTGGCTGTCCCAAACCATCCTATGGAAGGGATGGCTCTGCCATTAGAATAAAATAGAGATATTTGAGAGCAGATTAGACAAACACCTATCAGGGATGGTCTTAGAGATGGTGCTTGGTCCTGCCATGAGTGCAGGGGCAGGTCTAGATGACCTCTCAAGGTCCTTTCCAGTCTTATGATCCAGTATAGACCAGTGTTTCTGAAAGTGTTCTGAGAAACCACTTTGAGAAACACATTAATTGGCTGTCCTGGTTTGTTTATTTACTGACGTTGCGGCCACGGAGCTTCGCGGCTCCCATTGGCTCCGTTTTGTTCTTTGCAGCGAAGGAAAATGGCATGGGCCGGGCCACCACTTCCCGCTGCTCCGCTTGGCTGTAAAGAGTGAAACGGAGCCAATGGGAACCGTGAGGCTCTGTGGTCGCCGCGCCAGTAAACAAACAAAAAGGGGCGGCCAGTTAATGTGTTTGTCAAAGTGGTTTTGCGGAGCACTTTCAGAAACACTGCTTTAGACTGTGAATTTGGTTGGACCCTAGTTATAGTCTAACCAATTTCATATTCTAGCCTTTGTCCACACTTGTATAAACCCTTACACATGAGAATTCTATTAAGTTTAATGAGACCACCCATGCATAAAGTTTCTCATGTATGAGACCATTTTTAGGATTAGGTCCCCCACAGTTACACTGAACTTGAGCCAAAGATCCACAAACAGCACTTTCTTCAAGTTTAATTTTAATTAGCTTTACATTCTAATTAGGATTAAAACTATCAAATCTGATCACCAAATATAATATTTTCCTTATATAAATTCATCATGGTTCTTAAAGGGGGAGGAAAAGGAACACCCACAACATGCATGGCAACAAGTATTTTTTCAATTGTCTAGTGCAATTTCATTTCAGAGGGCATAAATTGACAGAGGCATTAATTACTGATTATCTTCCACAGAAAATTCCATTAACTCCCCAGAGTTTCTGCTCTCTGAGGTAAAAGTAATATTCTAGTTAACATTGGTCTCTCACAAGTACTGGTTACCTAAGAGGGAACAGCCTACAGATTTTATAGTATTATCTCCATTTATTACCAAGCAGCACCAAGATGTGTGCTCTGTTTGTTAATAGAGCTTTCCCACAAATATTTAGAGAAGTCTTCTGTGTAGGATACAGTTGTAGCTAAAAGGAAAGAGGAACAGAACTAACGATGTTGTGTACTCATGTGAAAAAGTCCCGGATCGGAAAACACATTTAGAGATACAGAGGAAAGAGTAATCTAAAGTGTTGATCAGCAGCATCTCAACTGGCATATTCCAACCACATTTTAAGGTCAGGTGTCCACAAATGGGGCAGGTTTTGCAACAGTGTCTTAAGAAGCCAGGCATCCAACTCTTACTAGTTTTCAAGCTCTGGTTAATAAGCAAGCTATTGGTCTGCTGAATTCTATAAAAGCTGTAACAATTAACTTTTGAAGCATCTACTCAACATTTATGAATACTTTCTAAAGTAGTTACAAATGTAACTTAACATAAAGTGCGGCCTAAATAACAACCAGAATCTAAGTTCTATATTGATACTTTTCATTTTAGATAAGTGTCAGTGACCTGATATACTTTGGACTATTGTTTCAAATCCTGACAGTTTATACCAATGAAATAACAACAGCAGTCTTTAAAAGATCATTATTATTCATACATGTAAATAAAATGCAAGCATAAATGCCTACTTTGAAACGACATAAGCACAGAAATATGTAATATGTTGCTAAAAACAATCACTCAAATAACAGAATACGTTTCTATAGAGCCCTATTGTGTTAAAATGTGTGCACAGCAGCTTGATTATATTCTGTAGTCCAGGTCACCACACTGAAACAAAATGAGTGTAAAGAGCTCCTTCATCTCTAATCATCTCCAGACAAAACGCACACCTCTTATTCCTCCCCCCCATTTGATATAAAGGTTAGATGGACTCTGTATTCAGCACTTCTGTTGATGAGTAGACAGCAGATGCAGGGTTTCCTCTTCAAATTCCTAGATTAGTAATGGATGTAGAGCGGAGGTTTCATATGCATGTACTATGATATTTGCTCCTGTTAATGGACTGTATTTGAGTACTTACTGTGATAACTTGAAACAAAATAAAATCAAATTTCCATTTAATGAAGAGCCTCATATTCAGCATAGTATTCAGTCAAAAAAAATTACTAAAATTAGAGCATGTTTCTAGCACAATTAACATCCTTTGCACTCACAATAAAATGTTCAGTAACTGGCCATTTTGCCTGTTGAGGAGGTGAATAAAAGCACGCTATTAATCATTTATCTTTCATTTGTTTGCCACTTTATTTTAAGTAGTCAGTTAAATTGAAATGGCACATTATTATTGCTTCAGGTTTAATTTAATTTTCTTAAACACAACAATTATTCCCAATATATACAGCATTAAACCTTTTTTGCATAGAACAGCATATGCAATTTTATTTTATATAAAAGTTAAGTCTTTTATAAGAATGTGTAAGGATAACAGTCTGATAGAATTTTTAATTTTTATTTATATAGTTACAGAATAAAAACGCACCTATTCAACCCTCTGGTTTTTCAAAATTGTTTTAAACATACGTTTTCTCACATAAATGCAGCAAATCAAAGTGATTAAAAACTACTCTCTGAATGGAAAAGAGAATCATGCATTTTTTAAATTTATTTAGAGGGATGTCCTGTGCTATCAAGTGCATAGAAAAGGACAACAGTCACCAACTATTAGTGTTGAACAAGTAGCCTGTGCATTATGGTAAGTGCTTTATGATTTGATCCGAAGGCCATTCAAGTTAGTGGGACTCCTTCTGCTCACTTAAGTGGACGTGGGCTAAAGCACAGAGAAGAAGGGATGCCTATTTTTACTGGGCCTGTACCAGCAGTTACCTATATCCTTCCTCCACGTCAACTCAGCTGTACTGGCTGGCACTGTGGGTGAGCAGAGTGTTCCCTGGTACGCTTGTGTGACCACTCAAGAGAGATACTAATGCCACGCAGCTGATTAGCACAGGCTTACAGCTCCCACAGCTAGTGGTGCACACTCACATGTGTTCTGGTGCATATAACAATTTATTCTACACGTGGATGAAAAAGATTAGAGGGAACATTGCTCCTGCCCATCTACGTTGAGTGCAAGTGGGTATGATGCACTCCCCACCAACTTTGCACTGGCAGACCCAATATCTAGGAAACCTAGATAGGGGCATAAGACAGATTCTGATGGTGTCTTACTTCTCTGAGTGGGCATGTAGTCCAAGCTACAATCTAGCACTCAGTGAACAAACAATAGTTGCTCTCCTTTCTTTTCTAAGGACGCAAATTGTACACAGTAGATTTCAAAACACATTGCCCTGACTTCATATTCACATTAAGGCCTGGTCTACATTCAGTTTTTGTATCAATTTAACTGTTTCTGTTAGGTAGGTGTAAGTTGCATTTATGTCCACTTTAATGCACTACCTGAATGGCCTTAAAAGAACTTAACAAAAGAACAGTCAGGGTTATCATATCTATGTACTAAAAATATATTCCTTACCTTTCATTATTACTGTTCTGTTTTCCAATATCTTTTCTATTTGAAAGCTGTACTTTATCATCATTTGCTCCTTCTGGTTCATTCAGACTTTTCTCCTCCAGGCTATCTTCATCTAAACTATCATTCTCCAGCTCATCAGAAGACTGGCTTACCAGTACTTCATTTTCACAAATCCGTTTCTGAAGTTCCAACTGATACTGTGTCTCTTGAATAAGGCTTTCTGAATCAGACTCCTGAGAGTCATGCAGAGTGAGATAAAAATTTCCTTCACTTGAAGATGGCCCTTTTAAATTAGTAGGATGCTCATGTGACTGGATTAATACTCTTTGAGATAAGCTATTATCCATGTTGCAAAGGTGTAAAAATGAAGGATTGGAAATATATGGTACAGATGTGAAGAATTCATTCAGTATTTTGTGCTGCAGTATAGACCAGACCTGTATTTAGGAAATACGAGACTAATGTATACAATTTTTTTCACTGAAATAGTCAATAACCATTATGTTTGTGAAACAAACTAGTCTTATCAAATTATTTAAAAAGAGGCATTGAGGGCAGACTCAGAATTTAACTACTGCAAAGCTGGCACACTCCTTTATTTATAAATACTTCAGGGACATGTCTGCCATTCATATTCAGGACAAATCTATAATGCTGGCTGTATCAGGACTGCTACAATCAATGCAGCAGTGTCGATTTAGCATGCTAAGTCAATGGCAGAGCACCTGCTGTACTCCATCTTTCCAAGTAAGCTAGGTGAGTGGGAGAGCTTCCGATGAGAGAGCACATTGTAGGTTGTAAGTTGATCAAAGTTGAACTTTAGTTATGTAACTTGCGTAATTGAAATAGTGTAATTTACGCTGACTTACAGCTTAAGGGTAGACCAGCCCTGAGTAATATTTCATTCAATAGAAAATCAATAACATTACAGCCTTAATATTGCAAACACTTGAGCACGTGTTTAACTTTACTATCACTAATAGTCCCATTTAAAATGATGGGACTACTCACACTACTAAAATAAGTGCTACATAGTCCTGTATTTTGCATCTACTAAAATTAAGTTTGTGTCTAAGTATTCACAAGACTAGGGCATAATTGTGTAGTAAATTACTATTCAGCATGATTAAGGGTAGCAAAATAGGGCTTTTAATCATTATAAAAATTGCAGTGGCATGTCACTTAATCCAATAATAAAACTTTACACGCATGATTAGGGAAATAAAGTTGAGATACAGGAACAGATTTTAGTTGCAAGCTTCCAAGGGATTGTTTTCCATCATATGTTCTACAACAGTGATCTTATTTACAGCCTATTGGATAGCTATATTTATATCACTCTAGATATTAATTTAGGACAAAGAATATTTACCTACAAAATATCTTGACAGGGTTTTTATGTTTATATATTAACAGACAAGCCATATGCAATTACATATGTAAGGGATCAAATTAATGAGTTAAAACACGTGTCAGAATTTGAAAATAGGAAACTTTTTTAAAAATATTTTAATGCCATTTTCTTTCATACTAGGTTA